TGTGGACCAGTAGAATTGGGGTTGCTAATATGCAACTTACGGGTGATGTACCTCCCAATGACTTGGTTTCCAAGGACTGTAATCCCCTACATTTCAAAGAAAAAGAAAAATCAACTAAGAAATCAAAATCAGTCGGACACATAATAATGGAATCAAGCTACAGGAAGCCAGATTTAGGCTATATATCAGGAAAACCTTCTTAACTGTTAGAACAGTACAACAGTGGAACCAATTACCTCAGGAGGTGGTGAGCACTCCAATGCTAGAGGCCTTCAAGATAAAATTGGACAACCATCTGGATTTGGATTCCTGCACTGAGCAGGGGGTTGGACTGGATGACCTTATAGACCCCTTCCAACTCTATGATTCTATGAAATGAAGTGTTCTGTTCCAGGAAGTCTCAATAGAGCTATGGCTTCTTTTCAAATCATATTTGAAAATAAATGCCTTTTTTAGATGAAACTTTCTTTTAACTCTATTGTATTCTTTTAAATTGAAATTCATTGCGTTACGGCAGAAAAACAAGTTTCTCCAGGTGGCGGTGGTGCAGAATTGCCCATTCTTCCCATGGTCCGTCAGTGAGGACTTTTGAGTTTTTCAGGGAAGGTGAAATCATCTGTCAGTCTCGTATTTTTCTCTTTGTGAGATCATTGACTGAAATTCCTAGAATTACATTTGCTACAGTTAAATAGAATATCTTTCAGATTCATAGACATAGTAGTATAATATGCATATCAGACGTACGTGGATTGTTTTGCCAGAAGTGACTGGTCTCTTTCTTTTCTTTCTCTTCTGTTGCTAAAGGTGCTGATAGTTTATTGGATATAAGTTCAGAGACAGACCAGCAAGATCTCCTTGGATTGTTGCAAGCAAGAATTGCTTCTTTGACCTTGCATAACAAGAAACTTCAAGAAAAATTACAGGTATCTATCTTAAATGATTTCAAGTGTCAGAATAGAGAAAGGTTGGCTTCTGTTTTACTTGATACCTGTTTGAAGTTAGAAGATGAATCTGTGGTGCTGGTCCAGAGAATCACTGTTCCCTTTCGATTATAGCTGAAGCCAGGGTCAAACATTGGTGAAGGACAAGATGGCGTCCAACATTCTCTGTACAAAAATCCCCTGGGCAATTGAATCTTCTTTCAGTGTTGGTGATAAGGCCATCTCCTCCATCACACTGGAGGTCAGCAAGGTTAGCTTGGGGAGTTCAACGCAGGTTGTGTGACATATACTGTATATCCTCCAAAAATCTTGCCTCTACATACCAATATCTGCCACCTGAGACCTCATTTCACCTAGTTTGATTCAGAAGTGATAAATAGATTGTGTTGGGACTGAATTTGGTTTGGTTGGTTTTTACAAAAACCTCTGCCGTGTGATCTACCTTGTAGAACTTTTGGATTGGTAGTTGACTAGCATCTGAATAACCTTGTTTAGAAATGGGTTCTTGGTCTTGACCTAGCAGGGCAGTTCTTAATGTTCTGCTGCTGTGGAGTAAAGCTTTTTGACCACTGGATTCTCGGGGCATGGGAAGGAATCTAGCTTCTTCTGTTCATCACTTCCATGAGGGAAGGGTGAGGAAATGTATTTTTCCCCCTCCAAATTGACATCTTTGTCTCATACTGCCATCTGTTGCATCTACAGGCAAGAGCACTCAAAACAGAAGACGTGGATCCTCCACTGGATTCCTTTCATTCCACTCAGAGGGAGTTTGACCGTTCCACGGACAGGTTAAGTGAAAGCTCCACTGCAACAGCTCAGGATATAAGTTTGTCTTCCTTGAGCTTGGCGCAAGCTCAAGAAGAGGCACTCCATAATGAGCTGAAAATTAAACAGCTGCAAGACAGCTTAAAGGAAGTGCAAAAGAGACTTGATAGTTCAGAAGCAAAGAGGCGGCAGTTAGAAACCCAGCTTCAGTCTGGAGCGGTCGAAACAGTTCACTTGTTAAACAGCTCCGAGATTTCAGAGAACGGTTCTGACCTCAATCAGAAATTGAAAGAAACCCAAAGCAAGTATGAAGAAGCCATGATGGAAGTCCTGCAGGTCCAGAAGCAAATGAAGCTGGGCCTGGTGGCTTCAGAAAGCAAAGAGGCAGACCTGCAGGAGCTTAGGGCGACTTGTGAGGAAGTAGAACTATTGAAGGAGGAGCTGAGGAAAGCGCAGGAAGAGAGCAGGAAGCTTAGAGTGAGAGTGGAGGAGCTAGAGGAAAAACTGGAAGAGAAAGAGAGGAATGCAGCTGGCACCATGTCAGCAGAAGAATGTGAGGAGATGAAAAACTCCTATCGCGTGGTGATTGAAAATATCAATCAAGAGAAGGCTTTGCTAATTGAGAAGTACAAAGAGGGACAGGAGGAGATCAGAAAGCTGCAAGATAAGCTGAAGGGTCAGATGGAGTCAAAGCAGGGTGGTGAGGAAAGTGATGAAATGAGGGATGTGAAGAACAAGATGATAAGTGAACTGAACAAGCAGGTCAGTGAGCTGTCTCGGTTGTATAAAGAAGCTCAGGCAGAACTTGAAGACTTCAGGAAGAGAAGTGTTCCAGAGAAGGCAAATTCAGGACTGATATCTCTGGAGGAACATGAGAAACTGATGGAGGCCACTGTCTTGCAGAGAGAACAAGCTGAGGGTGTGTTGTTAGAAATGAAGGCTCAGTATGCAAAAGTGTTAAGTGAAGCAACACAGCTCCAAAATTTGGTTGACTCTCAGAAGAAGAATTCTGTCTCCATCACTGAGCATCTCCAAGTGGTCACTGCTCTCAGGACCTCAGTAAAGGAAATGGAAGAAGAAATAAACGAGCTCAAAGAGCAGCTTCTTTACAAGGATAGCGAGGTAGAGCGTTTGCAGAAGGAGTTACTGGAGGAAGAAGCGGCTGTGTGTGAAGCTATGGTGCCCAGGACGTTGTATGAAGAGCTTCGGTCTACCTCAGAAGGCGAGGTCAACTCTTTATCATCCAAACTGAGGGATTTAATGAAACAGAGGGAGAACTTGTCCACGGATCTTGCACAGTTGAGGAAGGAAATCTCACAAGTGAAAGCAGAAAAAGAGAGCCTCCGGGCTACCTTGGAAGCCAAGGAACAGGAAATCAAAGGACTAATTCAGCAGTACCATCAAGCTCAAGAAGAACTACTTGAATTGAAAAAAGCTTCACAGAATGCTTCGAAAATTGAGGAGGACAAAGATAAAAAGGTTGGTAGATCTAATGCCACAAATCAGAGATTGCTAATAAGTGTTCCTTGGTCTAGAGCTGGACCCTGGAGAATATGCATTTTAACAACTGATTATCAGAATCACTTGGGCATCACAAGTATGTGTGTCATGTTGCTACTTGTCATTGGACCTAACTCACACAAGTGAGGATCCTGAACCTTACTGGAATTTTAACAACTGATTATCAGAATCACTTGAGCATGTCAGGAACCATGTCATGTTGCTACTTGTCATTGGACCCAACTCACACAAGTGAGGATCCCAAACCTTACTGGGCTCTGCCATAGTCCTTTTTGGCATGAACGTAGCTGACAACATTAGTGTAGAAAGTTGCTCTTTTCAGGGTTCTTGACTAGCATCCTGATGTAAGCCTCCTGTTCTATGGAGACAGCAGACAAAATCAGGAGATGCATAAATATTAAGGGTGGAATCGGTAGATGTGTGCTTCCTCTTTCACATGGTGGGCATATTGATAGATAGGATTCCTTTCAAGTGAAGGACGTGTGCATGAAAGAGGAAAACGATTATCAGCCAGAAAGAAATTAATGGAGATTTGTGTTAGCTAGCACTAGGAAGAAGCTATACTTGCACATGAGTAGCCTGTGTGCTGGGAGCACATGCGTACTAAGCTTAAAGGGCTGAGGCAGAGGCAATGCAAACCTGTTGGTGTTGGTCTTGTGCTTCAGAAATGTTGATGTATGTGCTCATTAGGCAAGGGGGAGAAGACAGACCGACCTTGTGCTTAACTGTAGTAAAGAGTTCAGACTGAATACAAAAGCCATGGTTAAAAGCTGGCTTGCAAATGGATGTCAGCTTGGTAGGTTAAAGAGTGGGAAACCATAGATAGCATTAGGTAAAGGTAAAGGTTCCCCTTGATATTTGGTCCAGTCCTGTCTGACTCTCCTCATTAGGCAAGGGGGAGAAGACAGACCGACCTTGTGCTTAACTGTAGTAAAGAGTTCAGACTGAATACAAAAGCCATGGTTAAAAGCTGGCTTGCAAATGGATGTCAGCTTGGTAGGTTAAAGAGTGGGAAACCATAGATAGCATTAGGTAAAGGTAAAGGTTCCCCTTGATATTTAGTCCAGTCCTTTCTGACTCTAGGGCGCCTCTCCCAGCCGCAGAGCCAGCGTTTGTCCGTAGATAGTTTCCGTGGTCATGTGGCTGGCGCTACTAGACACAGAACGCCGTTCCCTTCCCACCGTGGTGGTACCTATTTATCTACTCACAGTTTTACATGCTTTCGAACGGCTAGGTTGGCAGGAGCGGGGACAAGTGACGGGAGCTCACTCCGTCGTGTGGATTTGATCTTACTACTGCTAGTCTTCCGACCTTGCAGCACAGAGGCTTCTGCAGTTTAACTTACAGCGCCACCACGTCCCCCTTATAGATAGCATTAGCTGTGATTAAATGTTACAGCTGATTCAGGTGAGCTATCTTCTCATCCTCAGGCTTTCAGTTTGCAACCAACTCTCCCTAGAGTGTCCCTATTCATGCCTTCTGGTGGTTTCCATTTTTTGGGTTGGGGGGATCATTACATGGGTTAAGGTTAGCAAGCCAAAGAAGTAATCATATTTAGCAAAAAAAAAATTGGTTTGGGCCAAAAGGCCTGGGGTGATGCTGGAGTGTTTTTCCCCCCCCTTCTGGCATCTCAGATGGTATATCCTTTTCTCCCTTCCTCTAACCAGATAGCAGACATGTCCAAGGAGGTAATGAAATTAAAGGAAGCCCTGAACAGCCTCTCCCAGCTCTCTTACACCACTGGTACACCTAAAAGGCAAAGCCAGCAGCTGGAGTTGTTACAACAACAAGTGAAGCAGCTGCAGAACCAGCTATCGGTAAGTACTTACTTATACATTTTTAAATTTATTTAATTGTCTTATTTACACGCAGCCTTTCTCTCAGTAAGGTGGCTCATTGCATTTATGTCATTTGACCTGGTGCAAATAGAGAGAAGTAGGTATCTTCTGATTGGAGACGTTATCTTTTGTGTGGTGAAAATGAGAGCTTGGAGAAATCACCTGTTTTGGGGGGGCTACAATTGGCAGAACCTCCAGCTAGCATAGCCGCAGGTATATGTGATATAAGGAAATCAGAAGTGTTTCTGTTAAGATCCCTAGTTCAGAAATTGGGACGTTTTATGTCTCTTCTTCCCTTCTCTTCATTTGCTGTCTAGGGCTGGTGGGAATTGCCACCAACCTATATTTGGAGGGCCACACGTTCCCCACTCCTGCCCTACTTCCTGGATTCTTAGAACTTTTGCATAGAGGGGGCATGGTCTCTCTTCCCCCATGGCCAGTCTTGCCATACGTGTACAGGGCTCACCGGTTAAAGCTGCATGGTATAGACTTGACTTTCACAATTTCTACACTCACTCCCTAGTTGAAGGCGAAGAACTGAGTAAACCAAGCATCCACACAGTCGTTCACGGAGTGGGTGGCTCGTATGCAGCAACATCTGGTTGGTGGAGGGGAGTTGTTATTTTTGTACTAGCCAGCAATGTATGAATTGCTGTAGTACCAGCTGGGTTTGCGTTGTGGTCAGAGTGTTAAACGAAGACTTTGGAAGATGTGGCTTCAGATCCTGACTTGGCTGTGAAATGCCTTTGGTTGACCTTGGGCTAGTTTCATTCTTCTTGCCTGTCCTACCTCATAAGATCGTGGGGAGGATAAACTGGGGTTTGTCCATACGGATGTTTTCATACTGTCTGCCACCTTCAATCATCCTTGCTCACTGGAAAATACCCCACCTTGTCTCCCCCCCCACACACATATATTTGCAACCATTGTTGCAAATCTGTCCCCCTGCCCTTCATAGAAAAAATGGAATGGTGGAGGGCAAACTGCCATATACAGTGGTGCCTCGCATAGCGAGGTTAATCCGTTCCGGATTAACCTTCGCTATAGCGAAACATCGCTGAACGGGACAGGGAAAGCCATTGGAACGCATTAAACATCGTTTAATGCGTTCCAAAAGGCTCCTTTACTCACCATTCGGGAGGATAAACTGGGGTTTGTCCATACGGTTGTTTTCATACTGTCTGCCACTTTCAATCATCCTTGCTCACTAGAAAAATACCCACCTTGTCCCTACAAGAATGGAGGCCTCACGTTATATCATTCTTCTTGCCTGTCCTACCTCATAAGATCGTGGGGAGGATAAACTGGGGTTTGTCCATACGGATGTTTTCATACTGTCTGCCACCTTCAATCATCCTTGCTCACTGGAAAATACCCCACCTTGTCTCCCCCCCCACACACATATATTTGCAACCATTGTTGCAAATCTGTCCCCCTGCCCTTCATAGAAAAAAGGGCATGGGGGAATGGTGGAGGGTATACTGCCATATACCTGACTACTCTTCGCAAAGCGAGTTTCGCCCTATCTAAAAGTCGTTGAGCGATCGCATTAGCGATCCCAAAAAGGATCGCTATGCAATTTCGTCGTTGTACGGTGCGCTCGTTAAGCGAGGCACCACTGTACCTGACTACGTTTTCTCCTATGCCTGCTATTGGTGCATTAATCAGATATAAATGAGTGGAGAAACGTTTTTTCACTTGCATCAGTGAAGGCAAGATAGGGAGATTTCTGGAAATAAAATGGTCTTCTTTTGTTCTTTGGTTTTTTTAAGGCCACCCTTGTCAGAGGTGGAGGTTGGTGGGAAAGGTGTCCCGCCCCCCTGCCTACACACACTATATTTTAAGAAATCTCTTTCTGTGCTACCAACAGTGTCATTCCCATGTTGCAAATATATTCTTCTTTCTTTTTTGTTGGTTCGTTCCTTTCAAATCAGTTTGGTGACTGAGATGTAGGAATTCCTGGGCTTTTGCATTTCTCAGATGTCAGACTGATTATAGCAATGTAACCTGAGCATGTAAACACACAGTGTGAGGCAGGATGAGCCAGGCTGCTATTAGTGCAGTCGAGCACAGTGTCCTAACACAGCATTACTGCTGGATTCTGTATGGTTGCTGTGTTTTCTGCTTATGTAAGAGTGAGCAGTGGTTTCCAAGGTATTCTGAGGATGTGGGCGTGCTCATCAGCTTCCCTCCTTTCCCTCTCATCATAGAGGTCTTCAGTTGGTGATGTTGACACACCACTTGCCTTCTCAGTTGCACTGCACTCCCACCTCCTCATTCTCCATTGATTAATTCAGTTGGTTAGTAAAAAATCCATCAAGGGGAAAGGAGGGCTGATGTTCTAGAATGAACCCTCTGGATTAGTGGTTCCCAACCTTGGGTCCATAAGTGTTCTTGTACTAAAACTCCCAAAAGCCTTCACCACTAGCTGTGCTGGCCTGGATTTCTGGAAGTTGTAGTCCAGGAATATCTGGGTACCCAAGGTTGGGAACCACTGCTCTAGCGTCATGGTGAAGTAGTAGTTATAGGGTTGGAGTAAGACCAAGGAAGACCTCATTTGGACAGGAACTTTATTGGGTGCTTCACTGGTCACTCATCAATCTAACTCACTGGCTTGCTGAGAAGATAAATGAGGGGAAAGAATTTTGTAAATAAATAGAGAATGGAGCTAAACAAACTCAATGATGTGTTTCATAATATTAGAACAGCCTGATCATTCCGGAGCTTCAGAAAGTCAGGCGTTGCAGGTATCAAATTTCTCCTGCCAACATGGTCACCGTCCATGCTAGAGGATTCTGGGAGATGTACTTTAAAAAGTAACGTTTCTGAGATCTCCCTGAGACCCTTTGGAAAAGTGTCTTTGCATCCCAGAATTGGATAGCTGCAGCTTCTTAACCCTTTCTCTTATTAGCAGCTTTTCTACCTGACTCTTTGTCCTCCACCCAGGTTCTAGATCAGTGTTTTGTAACCTGGAACCCTGTTCAAGAGTGGGTGAACAGCTGAAGGACTTTCCAGGGAGCAGAATTGTACTACGTGGAGCTGTCATTACACACTTCTGCAGTGTAGTGTGTGCTTTGTCCATCATATTTGGAATTTAGGGCACACTTGGTGTAAAGAGTTTTCATTCCTGATTAGAACTATAGAGATTCTGATGCGTGAATCTACTCTGTGCTTTTGTCGTACAGCAGTCAGTCATTGCTTGCCATAAAGTTAAACCCATAGTCTTTCCAAAATGCCCATGTATGATAAATTCACTTTTTGACCCGTTCCCTTTTTTCATAGGAAACAAAGAAACAACACCAGGATATTGTATCTGTTTATAGAACTCATCTGCTCTATGCTGTGCAGGTAAAAGGACTTCTCCAGCATTACTTCTTGTGTTTGTTACTCCCTGCATTTGTGTTTAATAAATGAATAGATCAAAGCTTCATATTAGTAAAAACAATAATTTGGAATTTTAAATGTCATTTTAAAAAAAAATTAGATGGTGCAGGCTCTACCCTATAAGAGAGAAATTCCTTTTTGTGTGAAAGTGGAATGTCTCTTCTATGGGGCAGGCCTAAGACATTTTGCTGAAATCCAAATGGCAAGATTCTGACCAATAAAGACAAACAAAATAGCTATTAATTTGCTGTCTTTCATTACATCATATCTGCTGTCTGAGATAACTGCCCCACTCTTGTCTAGGGGAAGGACCAGCCCTGTCTTCTAAATTAGTAGTTTGTTTGATGTATGCAAAGAAGGGTTGGAGAGAGAGAAGTAAATCTTACTTAGCTTGTGAAAAAGAGACACCCATCCTGGGCTGGCTGCCTGTGGGCTTCCAGGCCAAGTTTAAGGTGCTTGTGTTGACATTCAATGCCCTTAATGGTTTACGACCCTGCTACCTGTATGAGCGCCTCTCCCTCAAAACGTTTAGCCATCCCACCCCACCTCTTTTAATAAGATACTTCGGGTGGCCACCCTGAAAGAGGCCCAGAAATCTGTCACTTGAAAACGAACCTTCTCTGTGGTGGCCCCATTGCTTTATTTAATTATTTATTCATTCATTCATTCATTCATTCATTCATTCATTCATTCATTTATTTATACCCCGCCTATCTGGCCCACTGGACCACTCTTTAGAATTTTTGAGGTGCAATTGGGCCCATCCCTCTTCGGTTTCAGGAGACAAATTAATACCTGGCTGTTTTTGCAAGCCTTTCAGAGCCTTGCCCCAAATTAATAAGTTATTGTATTGTGTATGATGTCTTATCTGTGTTTCCATTTGTGTTTTTATTATGTTATATTATTTCATCTTGTTCTGCTAGCTGCCCTGAGTAGTGGCCAGCTCTCTAAATAAATGTTTTCCCTCCTCATTTTTTTAAAAAAACAGAGTAAATTGGTTTTATTGCATTTTGCCTCACTGATTGGGAGTGTCCCTCTTTGCTGAGTCAAAATAATTTTGATCAATTCATCTAAACATATTTTGGGGACACTGGGTTAGCAGAAGCTGATCTTAATCAGCTAATGGCTCAGCCCTAACCTCTATGTATTAATGAAAGGCAGTGTATCAGCAAACTGAGCAATGAGAGTAGCATTTAAAATAGAGTCTGGAAACAGAGTAATCATTGATTTTTTAAAAGCCTTTCAAAAGACTAAAAAGTTTAGCTTGCTAGGTGATCCTCGTATGTAACTAACATTCTCTCTCCTTTTTTTCCTATAGGGCCAGATGGATGAAGATGTTCAGAAAGTGCTGAAGCAGATTTTAACCATGTGCAAAAGTCAGTCACAAAAAAAGGGTGAAACCGTTTTCGTTGATCCCTGATGGTGCTACTTGGGAGAGTTCGAGATGCGCCTTAAAATGAAATTTGATGAGCACCTCCCCACAGGGAATGGTCATGGACCGTTGCCACACTTCCAGTTTCATTTCTTATGTCTAATGAGCTAATGCATTGCCATGTCTTCCCTTACTCCAGTATTTCCCAGAGTGCTTTTTAGATACAAATGCACAATTTTGCCAGAAACTGCTATTACTTCAAATCAGGGGTGGTCGGGGTATGACCAACAGTATTAGAATATATCTCAATGCTTCTTTTTGTTACAATGAGTCAGTGTGCAAACCATGGAAGTTCTAGTTTGTAGTGCTGCATTTTGCAAATTAATAGCTACACAACTGAGAGTTAAGAATGTTTCTGTGTGCAGTTGTCAAAGAGAAAGAAGCAAACTTTGTATGTTTTAAGACACCCTGGCATCTGTTATCAAGGTAGGCACATCTGTTGACTCTAAAACCTTTAGGCCTTGTTGACTGAAAGAAGATTTAAAAATCAACTTTGTTAAACCAGCCTACTAGTTACCTAAAGCCAGCTCTTGCTCTCTCCTGGGCTCAATGTCCCTTTTTATTCTGGAATTTACCATTCTCTCATTTGGACTACACTACGAGAAGACCAGATCAGTGACATATATGAACTGAGTCCCAGAAAGCAGAGCCATAGTACTGAAGCAGGTGAATGGATTTTTGCTACAACCTCAGTCTCTTTACCAAGCAGTAGGTCAAGTTATCTATGCAAATCCTTGCAGGGCTGTGGGGGGTGGAGCTCAGGAGGGGTGGGGGTGGGGTGACCTAGTGTTCTGAGGGAATAAGGGATCCGAACAAACTCATGATGTTTACAGTGAGCGCTGTTTGTCTCACAGTTCTGAACCTCACTTTTTAAAAAGATCTTCTCTACAATATATTTTTACTGGCCCTCAAATTTAGAAACGTTTTTTGTAACTAAAGCCATTTGCTGCGTATCACTCTTTCTTTGGTTGTGTTGATTTGCGTTTGGCCTCGGTGACAAACTTTTTAGGCAGTTGCCTTTTTTTCTTTCCGCTGAGCTCTCTTGTGAAATGTAGTGGCGGTCTCCCTAGACAAGGCTATCCTCAAAATGAATTGTCATGCATCCTAGTAGAAAAGAAGATGGTCAAGTATTTCCCCCTTAAAAAAAAAAGAAGTAATCTTTTTTTGCCAAACGTTATAATACCTGAACCACAGATAAGCCTTGTGTTATGTTCTAAGGGCTGTTTCCTACGTTAAATTTATGTGATATAGAGGAATGATCCTACGAATTGTTTTTGTGCCTAAAAGTCCTTTTAGCAGTTATTGTAATTGCATTTTTGTTATCTATGGAGATACAGACAAAGAGCCTGGAGAGTACTCAACCAATACTAGAGTGTCTTTTCCTCAGATGGGGAAAACAGGAGTAAGTGATACCCTACTTTACCACTTGTTTTTAAATAGCAAATTAACACCCTGCAGTACTTT